GAGAGAGAGGAAGAGAGAGAGAGAGAGAGAGAGAGAGGGAGAGGAAAAGATTTTTTTCGACCAAAAATTTATTCGTAAAAAAAAATATTTACACTTTGAATATCGAAACTCTTGGAAATACAATTTATCTTAGGGAGGAAAAATTTTTGGCGAATTTTTATCACACGTTATCGTATAATTGTTAAAACAAACAAAATTCGCGCGAGAATTCTCGTCATCGATTCTCACCAACGTCTCGATAGATTAAGTCTCTCCATTCGCAAAATCGTGAAAAGATTGCTCGCGCGAAAAGAAACGGAATTTCTGCGTTCGAGATCGAATCGATTACGGGGCACGATCGCGGGACGCGGGCGGGAGAGGAGAGGAGGGGGGGGGAAGGGGCGCGAGAGAGGGGGAAAAAAAAAGCGAAAAGGGGTAAGAGGGAAATATGAAATATGAGTACGGAAATGCAGATATTTGTCAGGAAATTGATAACTCGAATAAACTCGTCGCAAAACGTTCAAACAGTCTGCCGAACGGGACGATTTTACCTCTTCTCCCGGCGGCAAACCGAAAGCGTAGCACCGTTCGGCCGCTCTTCTGAACGCCGTGTTGGCATGTGCGTGGTTGCGGCGGTGTGCATACACGGTGTGCACGCGCACACGGGCCAAAACCTCCCCTCCCCGTGCGCGTATTACGACGTATCGGTATAAAATTTACGCGTCACCCTGATATACTGTTTCGGCCAACTGATTGTAAACGAATTTTATAGCCGTCTGTATTTTTCGCTAATTTCGTTGTACAACTTTTCCAGATATGTGGCATTACACTGATTGCGCGTAGATTACGTCGTAACTTTGCCCATAACTGTGTTTTTCATCCGCGCTGATTCGGATAACGAGATCATCGCCCGTTATCGGATATATTGATTATATTTATTTTTCGATTTTTTTTCCTTTCCTCTTTTTATTTTTTTCGAACCACTCGTGCAAAAATCTCTCTTCTCTTTTTCTCTCTGTTACGAGAGAGTCAACGTGAATCTTCTTTGCGTTTTCAGTTTTTCAGATTCTTTTTTTTTTTTTCTTTTTCTTTTTGAATACAGCGTCGAGGAAATAAACGAGTTTAGCGTTAAAGTATGTTCGGGCATTTCATAGGATAACGCATAGATAATGTCTTCCGCGCAAAATTTGCAACGTCAAATACAGGCAACGTCTGTGGATATTCATACAATTTCTCATTGGCAAGGTGGTACATTAGTTTAACACTGATGTACGCCGTGGCTCGTTAACGGTTATTGGCCGATACTGATTTAGCCAGGGTTGCCTAAATTCATTCGCGTTAAAGAATGATTGACGTATTTTGGCGTTTATACGATTTTAACTGTAAAACGTGATATCACCGTGGTAAAGTAAAGTAGACGTTTCTCTATAGAAATTAGCGAAATTATTGTATTCATAGCCGCTCGTTCGTTCGTACAATTTTTATACAAACTATAAAATATTTTATTTCTTTTCCTCGTAGTAGTTATATATATATATAACACGATTCTCTGCTCATTCGATGTTTCCATCGTTCTTTTTCCATCCCTGTTTTAACGTTAAGATAATTTGATCGTTTTTTTTTTTTTTTTATATTTCGTTATCGTTGACGATATTTGAGGAAAAAAGGAAAAAAAGAAGGAGAAAAATTTCCAATAAAATTAACCAAGCATTTCGAAGCTCTCTTAACATATTTTAATTTCGCATATTTTTAAAAAATTTAGTTGACGTTATGGAATTTAAAATCCTTGCATACCTACACGTATCTTTTATCGCATATTATCCCTTGTTGTTTTTGTACAAACATAAAAAAGCACGCGATTGGACAGTTCACTGATATACGAGCACCCAGTGTCACGGTTCCCTGTCATTTATGTGATGCACGCGGTGCACTTTGCACTTTTTTGTGCGAAAACGCAGCTTGTAGTCGA